AAATGGAATCGCCTTCACCTCAAACGTTGATTTAGTGAGCGGAGAATACCCAGTCGAATTGGTAGTGCTCAATCGAATGGTTCTTCCCGGAACGGGCTTCACTCCTTTAAGTTGATTCCTTTGTGGACAAGTGATGTGATATCAGGGTAGAAGATTTATTCCAAGCATGACATAGCAGGCATTCATTTCGAACCGTACATTTGATAAACATTCAATTGTGCATACGTGTGCAGAAAATATACGAGAAAACCTTCACAAGCATCAAAAATGTCATCCTATAATCCACATTTGAGCACCTAAGAAATAATGCTGTCGTTTCGAGGTGTTGAGGTAAAATCGTATTTAAACGGATGTGTCTGCAACTCAGTTCGAAGCTCAGAGGCTAAATAAACTCAATCAATGAGCTTGTGTTGAAAGTGAAGGAAACGGGTCCAGTTGAGATAGCGTTTTGCAATTTCGGATCTTAAGCTTTCAATTAAAATCTTCACTTGTAGTAAAAGCTTTTCAGTGAGGAATCCATCCAAATGAATAAATGAGAGTCAAAGAAATCAGGCATAAACGACAAGAATAGCCGATTGTATGGTATCAACAAATGCTAATGAATGCTTTTATGTACAGTCTGTTTTNGAATAGCCGATTGTATAGTATCAACAAATGCTAATGAATGCTTTTATGTACAGTCTGTTTTGAAAGCATAAATAAGGTGATCAAACAAAAGAAACAGAGAAATAAGCACTAGTTCACGGTTTGCAAAATACTTTCACATCATTTTCAATCATTCAAATTATTTTTCAAAATAAACAATATTACTTTCACTTAATACAAATACAGTTCGTAGCAGTTCTGCAAAATCGAACAGCAAAATAGTGAAGAGAAACATCAAAGAATTGTGAATCAGTCAATCGTCATCGTTGTCAGAGATGAATGCCTTTGTTTGCAAACATGTACCTCGATGCGTCACTGGTGGCTCTCATTCTTTGCGGTTTTTCTGAGATTTTCTCCACCTTTGGTGCGCTAACTGTCGTCCTTCGACGTTGAGGAGGAGGCTCTACGTCCAGATCGAAATCTCCGTCAGCGAACTTATCATACCAACGATGAATTAAGGTTTCTTTAGGTGCGTCTTCACCCCATGCCTTTTGTATGTTTGCAGTAGCAGCAATTATGTTGTGTCCGAGTTTGAACTCATGCAGTATGATTGCACGAAAACCGTACTTCTCCATCTTTTTGCTCATCTTATCGGTGGCGTCTGCAAATGGTTCACAAAATCACATTCTCAAAGTTGAACATGAAAACACATTCGTCTAACGGTCATTTCGTCTAACGAAATTTCGTCTAATGGACACATCGCCTAATGACATTTCGCCTATTGCGCATTCGAGGAT